CTGTAAAGATGTAAATATCAGTGAAAATACACCTACGTCATGTAATTGTAGTAATTCCGAATACACTTATGGCCCCATTTCCCATGTTATAACAGGGGACCTTAACATCGTTCGCGACCGAGAGTTAAAATCATTCCTCAGTAAAGGACCTAAATATCGTCCACCGTCAATTATTAATTGGAATGAGTGTCGTAATATCATCCACGACTCACTTCGTGCTTACTGTTTGAAATGGATAAAACGGGAAAAAGCTGACAAAAAATCTTTGGACTCTTTTTTTAAATTCAGTAATGAAGATAGTTGATATACGTATACAACATTTTAAAGAACATTTTACCCTTAACAACAACCATAAAAATCCTATTTCTCGTATCAAACATAAACTAAAAGAACTAGCCAAGGAATTTGTTTTTGTCCCGGCTGATAAAGCTGCTAATAATATCATTATAGTTTGACGTAAATTTTACATTGAAGTTCTGCAAAAGGAAATCACCAATTCACCAACATTCCAACTGACTTCATTTTCAGAAAACGATATCTGTAACAAACATACACTATTAGCTACTTCTTTACAGGCAGAACCAAATACAATGAAAGTCCCAACTATGTACTGGCTTCCGAAGCTACACAAATCACCTTACAAATATAGATTTATTTCGTCTTCAAGTCATTGTTCCACTTCTAAATTGTCTATTCTACTTACTAGTACACTTGGTACAATCAAAAACCTGATAATAAATTGTTCAAATAAGGCCTTTGAAAATAGTGGAATTAATTACTTTTGGAGTGTCAAAAACTCGTTGGAAGTACTTGATAAATTGCATGCATATATTGGTGATTTTGAATCTGTTCAAAGTTTTGATTTTTCTACCCTATATACCACTTTGCCTCATATTCTTATTAAGAAAAAATTTACACACCTGATTAAATGGGCATTTAAAAAGTCGGAATGCGAATACATATGTTCAAACTCTTTTAGGTCATTTTTTAGTAGCAACAAACAAAAGAACTATATCAATTGGACATGCTTTGATACTATATCTGCCCTTGAATTTTTACTTGATAACATTTTTGTTCGCTTTGGAGATTCCGTATATCGTCAAGTTATCGGAATTCCAATGGGAACTAACTGTGCACCACTTATTGCGGACCTATTTTTGTATTGTTATGAGTTACAATTTATGACTAAAATCAGCAAAGACCCTTCGAAACAACATCTTATACAAAAATTTAACAATACTTTTAGATATTTGGATGATATATTGGCTCTCAATAATGACGATTTCAGTATGTATACTAAAGAAATTTATCCTGTTGAACTTACTTTAAATAAAGCTAATACTAACAATGACCACTGTCCTTTCCTCGATCTTGATATCTATATCATTAACGGGAAGCTTGATACAAAAATTTATGATAAAAGAGATGATTTTTCATTTCCTATCGTTAATTATCCATTTTTAGATGGTGATGTTCCCTTGTCACCATCTTATGGTGTGTATATATCTCAACTTGTACGATTCGCTCGTGTATGTAACAACGTATTAGATTTTAGCGAGAGAAATGTATGTATTACTGAAAAATTATTACACCAGGGTTTTCTATATCATAAACTAGTCAAAACATTTACGAAATTTTATCATCGGTATAAGGACATCATTCGTAAATATAACTCAACATGCAGACATCTTATACGTTCTGGTATTTCACATCCATTTTATGGTAATATTCTTTACAAAGCACAAAAATGTGCATTTTGCGCCTGTCCAAAGTCAGGAGCCTCTGGCCTTTGTTAGTCTTGTATCGTTTTTAATTTTAGTTTCCTGTGTATAATTTGGAGTTTAGTATGACGTCCATTATCACTGAACTAGTATACTTATTTGTTTAGGGGGCAGCTGAAGGACGCCTCCGGGTGCGGGAGTTTCTCGCTGCATTGAAGACCCATTGGTGGCCTTCGGCTGTTGTCTGCTCTATGGTCGGGTTGTTGTCTCTTTGACACATTCCCCATTTCCATTTTCAATTTTATCAATAACATTTATTTTCATGATTGAACAAATTGTAAATGCAAACAACTCAGACATTACACCAGCATAAATTACTGTTCACGTTTTTAATATCCCGAGTCTTTATTCAACCAGATAAGTTTTCACTGAAATGGGCTATCGAAAATACAGATGAACGGATTAAACCGTTGCTAAGCTGGACTGTAATGTCTTCGCTCAAATGTCCTCTCGTGGTTTAATTTTTTTTCTCCAAAAATGTCGTGTGCCCATGTAGACAACTAAAGACTGAACAACTATATTTTGACTGTGAACTTTTTATAAGCATTAGTACTAGAAATTTAAGGTAAACCCTGAAAATCCTTACCTGTACCAGGTGAAAAATCTACCGTTGATTGTTTATTAATCAACATACATCTTCCGCATACAACTTTTCATATTTTTGCGCATGTCTGTTTTTACAAAAATAACTTTGTAATTGATTTTTCTAAAATATTCGAAGAATTCACAACTAACTTTATTATGTGTTTACCTGTACCATGTCTACACAACAAAGTTTTATTTTGCTAATACAAAAAGATAAATATGTATTTAAACCCTTCATCTAGTTTGATGACCGCTGCCACTGAAAGCTTAAATGATATCCGATGAAATTAACTTGTTCTCGTGCGATAAATCAAATTTAATGCATTATATATGTGTCTGTCCAAAGACTGGACCCTGTAATTCAGTGATTGTCGTTTGTTATTGTTTATCTTATTTGTTTTTTTGTTTATTGTTTCGATCATAAATCAGGCCGTTTGTATTCTCGTTTGAATTGTTTTACATTTGTCATTTTGGTGCCTTTTATATATAGCTTGCTGTGGGGTTTGAGTTTTGCTCATTGATGAAGACCGTACGGTGACCAATAGTTGCGAACTTCTACGTCATTTTGTCGCTGGTGTATCATAAGCAATTAAACCACAGCTTCTTCTTTTTACAATGTTAATTATATTTTCTAATTGCTTGCTTCACTACTTCAGATTTTACTGCAACGGTATTGATCCCTGATAAGAGTGTTTCCGTCTTATGTGTTTTGATATTACAACCGTTAAAGTACTAGCTATCAACTTTTATGACAAACCATTTGTTGATAACGATCGAGTGTAAAAAAGCAATTTGATGTCTGGGAAAAGCTACTTTCTTTTGAAGATCATTTATTTTGACTCCTATTGACAGTTGTCATTTCTCTACTCTGTATATTAAAGTATCACATTATCTGATCTAGCACACATTGTCCTATATACGAGGTGCTCTTACTATGGTGGAGTAAAATTGTTACGGTTCACGGAAGAGTGAACATTTCATTACGAATTTTATATTTGTCAGTTACCGATTACTGGTTTGCTTCTTTTAATTTCACCTTTAACACAAAGTGTTTCCATTTGCTAGTTGTAAAGAAACGTCAACTACCGCTAATTGAAAACAACGAGAAATAATAAACCTGTCCAAATTCCTGACCAAAATCTTTCTTGCGTTATGTAGCGTACTAGTAACAAGCCGAAGACAAAACGTCGTTTAGGAAGGCAATGTATACAGTCACTAAGTCATGTTAGTTAATAAGCTACAAATACGGATATCTTTGGTGCAAAATATTGAAGAAATGATACAGGAAACACTCACAAGACTAGTCGTAGCGTGTCATTAGTGTACTAAGGTTCGTAAGAAAAGGATTTTTTCCAAATATTTTTTAATATTTATATGTACAAATAATTAAAGGGCCAATAACGGAATTGGCAAATAGTGTATTTCGATATTTAGGCGTAGTATAATGCATTTTGTCTACTCAAATATACCAATTGCAGTATTAAATTGGTTACTTGAAAATGTAGTTTATCGACCTCCATTTGAACACCTCTTACCGGTGTATTTTGCTTATTCCGACAACCAGGTGCTCAATTGGAAGTCTTTCTTTCTACTCGTTTATTTAATTTATTTAGTCACGAATTCCAAAAAAAAAAATCTAATTCAATATAAGAAAATTCTATTTTTTACAGGTTTTCTTCTCGTTGAGAAATATTTGTTGCTTCGGGGGACAATAAACTTACTTTCTTCCTCTGTATACATGTACTATATAATTTAAATTAGGATTTGTTTTCAGGTAGACAAAAAACAGGCTGATATTGCGATTAGGAAATAAAAGGTAAAAAAATATCATTTTTCAAATCTTCCATCAATGGAGGCAAAATATTTAATAATAGCGGAAATATCGCACGCCGTGTGCTTCTCGTTTGAAACCTGAGCAAACCAGTATCCGGTTTATAGAAAATGTTAATTTCTCGCACTGCGAGAACAACCCTGATGTTTGTCATGTCTATGTAATTGATATATTTATCATTTTTATGTCAAGTAATACATGCCTTTTTCCATTGGCAGGTAACGATTTTCAAGTATCAAAGTATATATTACAATCTTTCTGAAATTGTTCGTTTATAAATTTTGAAATTTTATAGAAACTTTGGTTTCAACTCCCTCAGGCAAAGTTGACCTTAGATGAATTTTGCTATTTTTTAGGTACTTTTGGTCATACATGTATAGCTCTTCAACTGTTTCGGTTCTTATACATACTTGGCTTTCAAATATTCGGCTTTGAGCGTTCCTGGTGAAGGTAAATCCAGAAAAGCGCGTCGGACGCATTAAATTAATAACGTGTTGTTTTCTTTTTTTACAAGTACAAATAATATATACCGGGACAATTACTAAAATGATTGAGCAACTGGACAAATCAGAAAGCCGGAAGTGAGACCCAATAGAGGACCAGTCTTGGTTATACGGGGAGATCTTGTTAACGACTTATTGGCCTGCGATTGCTAATATAGCCTGCTTACATCAGGATCTATCACCAATGCAAACTGTAGCTAATATATAAGGGATATGAGCTACTAACATAAAACGACATCTAGACCTATTTGCCCATATAACATTAATAATTGTTAATACTAATTTGTAAACTTAAAGAGACCTGTTTCTGAAATTTTATAGTTATCTTATTCTTTTTTATGCTTTACAGTTCTGTTTTTCGAATATTTTCTACATTTCCTAAACACTAAATACATAACAATAGATGAGATAATGCTCATTAACAAAAGAAAGCACATAACTTCAAAAAGATAAAACGAATACCAAGGCATATCTAACCCAAAGTGTCGAAAATGTTTGTCACCATGTTTGGCAACTAAATCGATGTAATAAGCTGCTCTTTCTGCAGGGGTCTGTGGGCGACTGTGAAATATGTCCGATGCTTGCTTTATGTTCCGCTTAAACTTATCGGTAAAAGCTACTTGCCTGATATTGGCAATTAATTCCTCAGTAGAAAAATCATGTAAATCCATCTTAATACCATAACCTTTGTCTTCCATAACGCCCGCATTGTAAGGTTGGTCAATACTTAATGGAACTTTAATAACAGGAATTCTGTGGTAGATAGCCTCCATACTTCCACTTCTGCCACAATGTGTTATAAATAAAACGGTACGAGGATGACCGAGTAAATCGTTCTGTGGGATCCATGGAAGTCTCAAAATATTGTCTGTTGTCTCCTCTGTATCTCCTTGTCGAATCACAAAGTTAAGATCAGATATTTGTTTAAAAGCTTCAATCATTTTCCCGAAGGTATTATTCGGAAATGTTTTGAAAATACTGCCAAAAGAAACAACTACCAAGCCTTTGTTTGATGATGCAAATGTGTCGAGATTTTTTGATACTTTTTTCGACGGATGTGCAGCAAGACCGCCACAAAGTATTACATTTGGCGGGAACAGTTGCGGATAATCAAATAGAATATCACTGTCGTGTATATAAAGCATAGCTTTTTGTTTTGCTTCTTGGTTAGAAATAGCTGGTTTTTCTGGGACATACTTGACTGCCAGGTTCTCTAACGTTGGAGCTGCAGGTCTAGCAGCGACTAACAAAAGATATCGCAGCGTATTCCAAACACTCTCCAAGAATGTCATCTTATCATTGAATGCAGAAAAAGATGTTGGCGTGAAAGCTGGGTTCAATGGAACTCGATTTAAGGTTGGATCTATGAAGGCACCAAAAGAGACAAATGGCAGATCAAGTTTATACGCCATAATAGTGAAACAAAGAACAGGTGCGTAGTCTACAACAGCAATATCAAATTTCCGGTCTTTTAATTTGTTTATCAATTTCTTATCATTCATAAATTCGTGACAGAGAGCGTTTGTTCCTTGTAACCATTTCACCTGCGATTCAATTTTTGAACCTTGTGCCATTCTCACAAGTGTTACCCGAATAATGTCCTCATAATAATAGTTATCAAAACTCTTTGCAATGATAGAAGGTGAAAGTTTAATGCCTTCTGATTCCAACGCCTCTTTCATTCTAGCTGCTACCACAAAAGTAGTTGTATGGTTTAACTTTACCATCTCCTCGGCAACAGGTATTGCCGGCAACATATGACTTTTTGATTGAGCCATTAGGAATAAAATTTTCTTGGCATCAGTTTCGATAATGACGTGACACAGAAGGCTGCTAAGGTACAAAATACTGGCGATCATTTTGCTGCAAAAATTATCAAAAAACAAATTATATCTATAAACTATTGTTTAACAGACAAAATATAAGAATAAATCGGCTTTAAAAAAAACTTCATTTACTGATAATATGTTACCTGAAATCAAAGAAACTGATAATCGACTTGTCTTCGACTTTTCCATATTTCCTTGGTATCTTCCGACTCTTTATTGGACATATGATGTCAAGGAAATCTCGAGATCTAACCAACTTCAAATATTCGAATTGATAGGTACAAAATCCACACTAAATGGAAGCGTTTTCCGGACTTTTCAGAAACGACCAAAAAAAATGAAAGCTGAGAATAGTAAAAAATATCTGATGAGCTATATGAGCATAAGGGACCAACACAGAAAGACAAAACCAACAGACAACCCAAGATTGTTCCTAAATAGCGACATAGCATTTCACAATAAATGAATTTAAAACTTTGTGCATTTCAAATGTCCGAAGCATTTTTCTGGATTTACCTTCATCAGGAACTCTTAATTCCAAATACTTGAAAGCCAATGATTTTACAGAAAAATCGAAACAGTTGAAAATCTAAAGGACCAAAAATATTTAATAAAAAATAGCCAAAACAATTTATGGTGAATATTGCGGAAGATACTTGAATCCTTAGTTTCTTTATAACTTCTAAATTTATAACGAACAATTTTAGAAAGGTTTGCGATAAATCATATCAGTGTTAAGTACTAAAAACTATTCTGATTATATAATTGTGGATTGATAGTCGACCCAGAGCTGTAAAAAATGAAAACAACACTACATAAATTGCATGCGTTCTAAGCACTTCTCTGGATTTAGCTTCATCAGGAACGCTCAATGCCGAATATTGGAAATCAAAGACGTATAAGAAACGAAAGAGTTGAAGGGCTATAGGGTCACAAAAGCTAAACAATAACAGTCAAATCCATCTCAGGTAAAAGTTGCCGTGGGAATTGAAAAGCTAAGTCTTTTAATAATTTATAAATTTAGAAACTTTTTTTATAAATTAACTATACATTTCATCCAAATTCAGTTGTAAAAAATAAAATAAATGTTCACATCAGGAGAAAACTAAAACAGCTAAATGATGACAAAGAACCAAAACATTTTTCAGGCATTGCAGGGTGATATATCCAACAATAAATGCTATAAAAATATTGTGTTAAATATGAAACAAGTGGCAAACAATTGTACATGAAGAATTTCTATTTCAATGCACTGTAGGTTAAGAAAGTAGTTCCGAAGCTTAATCAGGGATAGGAATTCTAACGGGTTAATCACATTTGTATTTGTAGATATGCAAATTATATAACAATTATAAGTTTATGAAAATGGTTGTGACATATTCAAGGGACAAATTTACTAAAATGAATCAATTTCATTGATATGCAAGAACTGTGTCAAGGCAATCACGTTTAAGCACGTAGTCATCATTGAAGTTGGAACTTCCTGATCGCTAACCGTATTAAATTCAACAACTCTAAATATTTTCTATCTATTTTGTAGTTACAATGTGATAGATGACATAACAATTTGTATGCTAAATTCACTTTTAGATTAGTCTTAAATCACAAAAATATCGAAGATTTCAGTTATTTAAAAGGACACTAAAAATAAATGTATTACGTCATATCTTATTTATTATTGAATGAATAAATACATTAGAAATTATGACTTCATGATCAGCATATGGCGTATGTGCCCCTTCGTCAAATATTGGTAAATTGGAAGTATTTGATTCTATCTGACTAATGCATCTGATAAATGCATGATCATGGAAAAGGAACATGCAATATTCAACATAAAAATAATAATAAATGACCTAATTCAACTATATAAAAATAAAACAAAACTTACCAAGAATATTGGACATCAATGGGACTTATTCAAAAATTGCGAGAACATACAATTGCATACTGTAAACGAAAAGCAAAACAAAACATAAGTGAAATACATGTATTGGAAAATACGATTAAAAGATTAAATGAGAATATTAACCGACATTGTAAGGATGAGGTAATAGAAAATTTTCAAAAAGAATTAATTTATAATGAAAGTAAATTAAAAAAAATATATAAATGAAATAAAAACAAAAGGAGCTCAATTAAGGTCGGGGATTAAATGGGTAAAACATATAGAAGGAAGAGAAAAAAATACAAAATTCTTTTTGGGGTTTGAAAAAACTAGACAAACAAAAAGAACTATAACTGCTCTGAGGGATAAAGAAGGAGTGATACAAACAGAATCATCCAAAAAATTCTAAAAAGGTATTTGAAAAAGTAAAAATCCAGATTCAAAATTTATTAATGATTATATTAATGATACATACATTGATTATATTAAATTAACGACACAAGAGAGTGATATTATGGAGGGTAGGTTACCTATTGAAGAATGTACGGATTCAGTTTTTAAGATGAAATTGAACAAAGCAACTAGAATTGATGGATTAAGCGTAAAATTTTATAGACCTTTTTGCATGTTTTGGGAAGAATTAAAGGAGTTAATTGTATGCACATTGAATTTTTTTATATAAAAACTACTTCTCAGAAATTAGGAGTTATCTCTCTTACCAAATATATTGTCACTTATAAATGATGCGTTTCCCTCGGTTTTGGCTTGTGGCCCGAAATTATTTTTTTCTTAATCGATTTATGACTATTGAACAGCGGTATACTACTGTTGCCTTTTTTAGGAGTTATCTCTCTTATCAGATATATTGATGATGTCCTATCACTGAATAACCAATATTTCAGTCAGCACTTAAATCTCATATATCCCAGTGAATTTGAAATTAAGTATACTACATATACTAGAAGGACTGCTTTGATATTGTGATATGTCTTATTTTTTTGAATTCTGCATTTTTGATACATTTTAGATATGTCTTATTTGTCAGTAGAGTCGAGTTACTTGTGGTTCGTCTATAGTGTTTTTGATTAAAGTTGTTTGTTTTCAATTGTGTTTACTGTTTGGTCTTACATGATCTTACCTTATATTACAGTTATGATATTCTTTTTTCTATACGTATGTTAAAGTTAAGATAGTTTCTCACAAGTGTTACCCGAATAATGTCCTCATAATAATAGTTATCAAAACTCTTTGCAATGATAGAAGGTGAAAGTTTAATGCCTTCTGATTCCAACGCCTCTTTCATTCTAGCTGCTACCACAAAAGTAGTTGTATGGTTTAACTTTACCATCTCCTCGGCAACAGGTATTGCCGGCAACATATGACTTTTTGATTGAGCCATTAGGAATAAAATTTTCTTGGCATCAGTTTCGATAATGACGTGACACAGAAGGCTGCTAAGGTACAAAATACTGGCGATCATTTTGCTGCAAAAATTATCAAAAAACAAATTATATCTATAAACTATTGTTTAACAGACAAAATATAAGAATAAATCGGCTTTAAAAAAAACTTCATTTACTGATAATATGTTACCTGAAATCAAAGAAACTGATAATCGACTTGTCTTCGACTTTTCCATATTTCCTTGGTATCTTCCGACTCTTTATTGGACATATGATGTCAAGGAAATCTCGAGATCTAACCAACTTCAAATATTCGAATTGATAGGTACAAAATCCACACTAAATGGAAGCGTTTTCCGGACTTTTCAGAAACGACCAAAAAAAATGAAAGCTGAGAATAGTAAAAAATATCTGATGAGCTATATGAGCATAAGGGACCAACACAGAAAGACAAAACCAACAGACAACCCAAGATTGTTCCTAAATAGCGACATAGCATTTCACAATAAATGAATTTAAAACTTTGTGCATTTCAAATGTCCGAAGCATTTTTCTGGATTTACCTTCATCAGGAACTCTTAATTCCAAATACTTGAAAGCCAATGATTTTACAGAAAAATCGAAACAGTTGAAAATCTAAAGGACCAAAAATATTTAATAAAAAATAGCCAAAACAATTTATGGTGAATATTGCGGAAGATACTTGAATCCTTAGTTTCTTTATAACTTCTAAATTTATAACGAACAATTTTAGAAAGGTTTGCGATAAATCATATCAGTGTTAAGTACTAAAAACTATTCTGATTATATAATTGTGGATTGATAGTCGACCCAGAGCTGTAAAAAATGAAAACAACACTACATAAATTGCATGCGTTCTAAGCACTTCTCTGGATTTAGCTTCATCAGGAACGCTCAATGCCGAATATTGGAAATCAAAGACGTATAAGAAACGAAAGAGTTGAAGGGCTATAGGGTCACAAAAGCTAAACAATAACAGTCAAATCCATCTCAGGTAAAAGTTGCCGTGGGAATTGAAAAGCTAAGTCTTTTAATAATTTATAAATTTAGAAACTTTTTTTATAAATTAACTATACATTTCATCCAAATTCAGTTGTAAAAAATAAAATAAATGTTCACATCAGGAGAAAACTAAAACAGCTAAATGATGACAAAGAACCAAAACATTTTTCAGGCATTGCAGGGTGATATATCCAACAATAAATGCTATAAAAATATTGTGTTAAATATGAAACAAGTGGCAAACAATTGTACATGAAGAATTTCTATTTCAATGCACTGTAGGTTAAGAAAGTAGTTCCGAAGCTTAATCAGGGATAGGAATTCTAACGGGTTAATCACATTTGTATTTGTAGATATGCAAATTATATAACAATTATAAGTTTATGAAAATGGTTGTGACATATTCAAGGGACAAATTTACTAAAATGAATCAATTTCATTGATATGCAAGAACTGTGTCAAGGCAATCACGTTTAAGCACGTAGTCATCATTGAAGTTGGAACTTCCTGATCGCTAACCGTATTAAATTCAACAACTCTAAATATTTTCTATCTATTTTGTAGTTACAATGTGATAGATGACATAACAATTTGTATGCTAAATTCACTTTTAGATTAGTCTTAAATCACAAAAATATCGAAGATTTCAGTTATTTAAAAGGACACTAAAAATAAATGTATTACGTCATATCTTATTTATTATTGAATGAATAAACACATTAGAAATTATGACTTCATGATCAGCATATGGCGTATGTGCCCCTTCGTCAAATATTGGTAAATTGGAAGTATTTGATTCTATCTGACTAATGCATCTGATAAATGCATGATCATGGAAAAGGAACATGCAATATTCAACATAAAAATAATAATAAATGACCTAATTCAACTATATAAAAATAAAACAAAACTTACCAAGAATATTGGACATCAATGGGACTTATTCAAAATTGCGAGAACATACAATTGCATACTGTAAACGAAAAGCAAAACAAAACATAAGTGAAATACATGTATTGGAAAATACGATTAAAAGATTAAATGAGAATATTAACCGACATTGTAAGGATGAGGTAATAGAAAATTTTCAAAAAGAATTAATTTATAATGAAAGTAAATTAAAAAAAATATATAAATGAAATAAAAACAAAAGGAGCTCAATTAAGGTCGGGGATTAAATGGGTAAAACATATAGAAGGAAGAGAAAAAAATACAAAATTCTTTTTGGGGTTTGAAAAAACTAGACAAACAAAAAGAACTATAACTGCTCTGAGGGATAAAGAAGGAGTGATACAAACAGAATCATCCAAAAAATTCTAAAAGGTATTTGAAAAAGTAAAAATCCAGATTCAAAATTTATTAATGATTATATTAATGATACATACATTGATTATATTAAATTAACGACACAAGAGAGTGATATTATGGAGGGTAGGTTACCTATTGAAGAATGTACGGATTCAGTTTTTAAGATGAAATTGAACAAAGCAACTAGAATTGATGGATTAAGCGTAAAATTTTATAGACCTTTTTGCATGTTTTGGGAAGAATTAAAGGAGTTAATTGTATGCACATTGAATTTTTTTATATAAAAACTACTTCTCAGAAATTAGGAGTTATCTCTCTTACCAAATATATTGTCACTTATAAATGATGCGTTTCCCTCGGTTTTGGCTTGTGGCCCGAAATTATTTTTTTCTTAATCGATTTATGACTATTGAACAGCGGTATACTACTGTTGCCTTTTTTAGGAGTTATCTCTCTTATCAGATATATTGATGATGTCCTATCACTGAATAACCAATATTTCAGTCAGCACTTAAATCTCATATATCCCAGTGAATTTGAAATTAAGTATACTACATATACTAGAAGGACTGCTTTGATATTGTGATATGTCTTATTTTTTTGAATTCTGCATTTTTGATACATTTTAGATATGTCTTATTTGTCAGTAGAGTCGAGTTACTTGTGGTTCGTCTATAGTGTTTTTGATTAAAGTTGTTTGTTTTCAATTGTGTTTACTGTTTGGTCTTACATGATCTTACCTTATATTACAGTTATGATATTCTTTTTTCTATACGTATGTTAAAGTTAAGATAGTTTATCAGCTATTTCATTTATATGATTTTTAGTTTAAAGCATTTATATGCACGGGATTGTTTTGTTTTAAAAAAACTGACACTGTAAGAAAAAACAAATAATAACATCATTACAAACACAATTCCATTTTAATATTCTTGTCATGGCTAGAAAATACATGAAATAACACCATTACAAACTCAATCCCAAATTTTATATTCTCGTACAGGTCTTCAATAAAACAAATATATTCTATTTTTAGAAATTACCTGTGATAATATTAACGTCTAAAAATACGTCACTTTTTGTGGCGTTGATACAATCGTGTGACGTACAGTTTGTAATTCGTGCGTGGTGTCCTGGTGTATTGTCGTAAATTCATGGGAAGTGTCCGTTGTTATTCTGTGGTTTGGCTAATCATAAAACCAGGTTCAACCAACCATTTTTTTCTTAAATGTCCTGTACCAAGTCAGGAATTTGGAAGTTGTTATCAAATAGTCCGTTTCTATGTATGTTGGCGTTTGTTTTGTTGCAGTTAAATGTTTCTGTTGTTCCGTTGTTTTCCTTTTATACTTGATGTGTTTCCCTCAGTTTTGACTTGTGACCCGGATTTGTTTCGCTTAATTGATATATGACTTTTGAACAGCGGTATACTACTGTTGCCTTTAATTATCCATACAAAAAAATTATCCACTTTGTTTAGATAATTAAAGACCAATTACTTTATCAAATGTTGATACAAAATTAATAGCATTTTCATTAGCTCAGCTCAGTTATCAGTTTATTTTCGACTTATGAGTTTGAATGTCCCATTGGTATTTTTTGTCTCTCTTTTTTTGCTTTTAATGTTGAAAAGCAAATAGAAAAATCTGAAACGATTATCAGGAATTGGGAGAAAATGCATTTAACTATGATAGGCAAAATAACAGTTGTCAAATCATTGATTAAACCAAATATTACTATTTTAGCATCTGTTTCACATATTGAAAAAGAATATATTGTTGAATTTAAAAAAAAATATTTACAATAATTGTTTATTGAAAAGCAAAAGAGAAAAAGTTAAATGTACAGTACTAAGCTTTGAAAAACTAGACGGTTGTTTAAAAATGATTATCATAGATAAATACATAGAATCTATCAAAATTGGGTGAATCAAAAGGTTAATTACTGGAGATCTAAATAATTGGTTAATATTTTATTTTAACAAGTTTGGAAAAGATTTCCTTATCTTTCATATGAATATTGATAATATCGATTCTATTCCAGAGCATGGATAACTCATAAAAAAGTACAGCAGCCAAAACACTTTAGATCTATTCGTCAAGAAGTTATTTGGGGAAATCATTTTATTAATATAAAAATAAATGCTTTTTATTTCAAAACTGGATAAATAGCAACATTATCTATCTATGTTAGTGACATTATTGATGAAAATGGTAATATAGAAGAAAATCGTTTTTTTTTTAAAAGCTTAAAATAAAAAAAAAAACAAAATAACAATGTCAGAATATTGCCAATTTAAGAAAGATTTTCAAAAGGAATTGTTAAATATTTTACAACAGGAAAATTCAATTAAAATTAAAGTAACAACAAGTTATGTAATATATATTAATAACAATTGTAATAATAAAGAAAATGTAGAAAATGTAGACACCAGGAAAATTTATAACATATAAATTTAGAATGAAATTGAAATACTTGTTGGTTTCTACACATGGAAGACAATGTTTAACCTTGAATTCATTAAGAGTCTTTTGTGTAATATGTTAAAGTTTATTCATCATTACATGTATATAAAAGATAATAAGTACAAAGTTTCCGTTGGAAATTGCTACACTTTATTCTACCTTGTAAAGTTTTACTAAAACAGTGGAAGATCTGGAATATTTCAAATTGTCATCATTGCAACACCACTGAAGATTATGATCACATATTTCTTAAATGCCACTTTCTTGATAATTTATTGAGTAAAGTTAAAAAACTCCTTGAAAAACTGAATATTTATGATAATATTCTAACATTAAAACAAATTAGTATTGTATTATAAATAAATGACAAGCAATACTATGGAATTAATTATTTGATTACAATAATTATGTTTTGTATATACAAGGCAATTATATGTCTGAACAGAAAACAATAATTTCTTTAGATGTATATTCTGTATTTAAAGCAGAATGCATGTACAGTTATAAAATACAGGCAACTAGACAACCTACGAAGTATAAATGTCTACTTGATAACGTTGTCAAATGTTGTAATAAGTTTTACGTTTGAAAATGTATAATCTAGCAAAAAAAAAGATAAAAAGTTAAAAACATTATAAAATCATATGTCCGGAACTGATTTAGAGAAATTATTTTACCTATCATCGACAAGCGTGGATTGATAACGGTACTCTTTATCCTCAGTATGTATTGTTAAATAAGAGAAAAATATATTAAATACTATAATTATTAAAAAATCAAACTTACTATATTGCATTTCTTATTTAGGCATACTTGGTGAATAGCTCATAATCATATTTTAAATCAACATTAAAACTGGTGTGATTTCCGAATCAGGAAGAGATTTCAAAATGATACTAGTTAATTGATAACGGAAAATTAACTATTTCCGGAAACAACTTTTACTAAACAAGCTAGATGACATATATCGATTAATGAGTATTTTCATAAATATTTTATTATTTCATGATTGAAAATGATATAATATGATTTGATTTAGATGTAATGTAATAAAATGCTCATCATGCTTACCAGAGAGTAACCCTGAATTTCTGGTAAATAATACAGTGACCTTTCACTAGAATGCTAGATTAGTGAGGTAAATTGTTAAAGACCAAACAGTCTATTCAGTTCTATCAGTAATTTGTCCTTAAAATTTGTGTGAAGGTATTTCATGATTTTCGGAACAAAATATGATGAATCCATTTGTGTTTAATTTTCACTAGATATTAGTGCGACGCTTAATTCAACTTTCCTTGCAAAACGTATTTTTACGCGTACACCATATCGGAATCCGTGAAAAACGTGAAATAGGACTTTATAATTTGACGTTTTTTGCATGGCTAGAAACAACGTCATAGAACTTTTATGTCACAACCAAGTTGCATTACTTGATGCGCATTAACAATAGGCTGTTTGGTCATTAACAGCAGCATTGCAATATGTTGTTGAATAAAAAAAAAGTTGGGATAAGAGAAAAGAATTCGCTTGACTTGAAGGTGTGAATTTGCAAGAAAATAAGTTATGAATCTGTAATAACATGAATAAGGAGATTGATTATTTGATTGTTTGAATGGTGTTTAATGCCACTTTTAGCACTATTAGCTTTTTCATAGCGGTCAGTTTTCATTGGCACAGGAAGTTGAAGTGGCCGGAGAGAACCATCGATCTTCGGTAGGAAAACTGAAAATCCAAGTCAATTACGATTAGAGTCGAGTTTACCTTCCCCGTGTCGCAGTGTTGACAGACTAATGATAATGTTGTTCGACTACTCAAACCACTCGACCAATCCCTCTCTTTGTGTGAATATAACGATTAAAACGATATTTTCTGGGTATGAACATGTTCAGAAAAAAAAGGAAAATGCGTATGCAAAAAAAAGTATTCGTTAAAAAGCTTTTACTTTTTTTACGACTAGGCCGTTGATTTTTGTACATAAACGTGAAATTTTCTCGGTATATTAGAGTTAAAAGTTAACATCACAACAAGTTCTTTAATGTGCCTATGGACTTCAATAATTCGAAACAATTAATCATTGATGCATATCAATAGATTTTGTTGATATTTTGTTCTGAATCTCTCTGAACATGGTGCTTATATATACGAAGAATCAGTGGCGTTTAAGTAACATATAAAGATAATAGAAAAATAGAATAAGTTTGGTATTTAAGGATATAAACTCGTTATAAATTTTATGTTATGACGAGCTATTCTGGATTTTCTTTTGTCTGGAACGCTCAAAACAAAATATTTCAAGGCCAAGAATGTATAAGTACCGAAACACGTAAAGAGCTATACGACCAAAACGGACCTTAAATAATATCCAAATGCATCTAAGTCAACCATTCCTGTGGTAGTTAACCTTAGTTTACTTGTTATTTCTACGAAAACGAATGTTATAAATCATGTTACTACCGACAAACTAACTACTGATCTGATGATAACCTCGGAGACAAAATACCGTCATTATTCATTTTTAAAAATACAAAACGTGTTCCCATAAGAACATTTCAAATCAATTCTTTACAGTACTAGTCCTCCTATAGCATGATGCATAGCCATATCTTTTCCACTGTATGTTATCTGAATTAATATCCATAGTCATATAATTAAAAACTCGTAATCCACATATTAATATTCAAACTCATCAGAGATATCGGCTTACAATTGTGTAAGCCAAATGCACGAATTGCCTACAATAGACTATATAGTTTATTGTACCAACACAAAAGCTTTTTTTACAATGGAAAATAACTAATAATAATACGTGTAATTTTTGTAACATAGAAGAAGACTATTCTCATTATTTTTTCAATTGTTCTTATTTGACAATATTTTGGCAACAAATATACGACCTCTTAAAAAGGAGTAATTTAGATTTTGTAATAAAACTACAACACCTGATATTTGGATACAAAATCACAGACAACAAGTATTACTCAATAAATTTTTTTTTTTATTACAATAATTAGTTTTTCAATATACAAGTCATACTATGTATCTGAGCAGAAAACAAAAACCATAGACGTCTACAGAATTTTTATCAATGAATACACCAAGAGTGTAGATACCAATATTAATGGACATAAGGCAATAAGACCAATGTTACTAACAATCAAAAGAAACATAATCAATGAATAATTTTCTAATATTGTTATTATAATAGTGTTTTGTAAACTAAATGTATGTCAATTAATCTAATCAGCTGATTATTCCCTGGGTAGTCAGTGGATTGTAACAGGGTACGTCAAGAGAAGCTTGGAATCTTGATGGTTTATGTAACAAGCAATATTTGATGAATAAAATTATTATGTTGTTAAAAAAAAAAGAAAAGCCATGTATTTAATCTCATAAACTAGGAATAGTAGTCCGAAACAATCAAATTACAAAGTTAATGTACTCAAACCATTGAACGTCAGTGCAATTTTCAATATCAACTTGACCAAATTTTAATAATATTGTACCAATGATTATTGATTTTGTATGTAGTAATGTTACGATGCTGAATGTAAAATGGGGAAAAAGAATTAGTCAAATATGAGGACAAATCTAAATGCATGTGATTTATCAACTCCCCCTGAAGAAATAAAAAAGAATCAAATTCTACAAAAACAACACACATACAACATAACACTATTCAAGATTCAGACTTACCACTATAAATTCAGACAACTGTTCATGATCAGCTTGCATGGAACGAACATTTAGGAACCTTAGTTCAAAGACTTTATATCCCAAAGATTGTAAAGGTGAACTTGGAGATAATACATTTAATGACCATTCCCTGACATCTTAAGTTATAATAATTGAAAGGCAGACACAATGGCAAAAAGGTATCAAGACTTTAAAAATAGACCTATACAATCAAAATGAACCATTAATGTACACGTTAAAAATAAATGAAGTTTTTATTGTTAATATATATTATAATGAGACTACTATCAAGCAAACATAAAGGTCTAAGGTGCAAAAGTTATTCCAAACACTTGGGCGAGAAGACTTCCCAAAAGAGACCTAAATAAGCAGACAAAGCCTCAGCTGACAACAAGAGAGATGTCTAAGTTATTGATGACTTCTTGCACAACATTGAATTAGTTAAAATATCAATTCATGCATTTGTAAATATCGTTTGAATGTTAATATTATAATATTACTTCGAAGCCTTGAAAAAATAAACTACAATTATACACATTTGTCCGTTCATACAAGGACAAGCCTACACATGTTTTCTCATCAATAATGCGTTCGCTTGGATAACAGATTTTGATTTGTAAAAAAGTATAATTGTTAAATAAAACATCCACTGAGATAAAGCAATCTTTAAAGGTTTGAACAGAACGTTCTGCGCTAGGACATTTTATTATTAGCAATGCAAATCGGCGTCAATGATTGATGTTTTCTTATTAAGACCATTGGAAAATAAAATATGCTACAATGTGTGCCTTCATATCACAAACATCATAAAAGCAATCTCCGTCACTTTTTAAACTGCAATACTATATATTTTCTATTTCGTCATTTTTGTCTTAAGTCAGGAATCTGATGTTCAATAGTTGTCGTTTGTTGATGTGGTTCATGAGTGTTTCTCGTTTCTAATTTTTTATATAGATTAGACCGTTGGTTTTCCCGTTTGAATGGTTTTACACTAGTATTTTTTTGGGGGACCTTTATAGCTTACTGTTCGGTGTGAGCCAAGGCTCCGTGTTGAAGACCATACTTTGACCTATAATGGTTTACTTTTATAAATTTTGACTTGGGTGGAGAGTTGTCTCTTTGGCACTCATACCACATCTTCTTATATCTTTCTGATTTTAAATTTTAATTTCTTAGATAAAGGAATATCGTATTACACTTGATATAGAGGTTCAATATCTAAATGCTTGTGTTAAGGTTTCTACACTATGTGCTGCCTATGGTCAAAGAAAGCTTGAAAACAATGCAGCGATCTGTTAAAAAAGTTGAGAAAAAAAAAATACTAAAATCGACTGATACTTAAAATACATATGCAACGACGTTTAAACATACAACAAAAACGTGACCCGTAAGATCATAAAAGCACTCACAAACCTGTAACGCCAGTCAGTATTTGTTATCAAAGTAATACAGTTACTGACTGGGTTGTTTGAGGTAAAAAAAAAATATACTTACAAAGAAAAAATGCAAATACAAATTTTACACTGGACTAAAAATAATCATCAATAGAAATACAAACCGGAACATCATGTTTAGATAATAAACGGTGTTTTTGTATCATAAAAATTTCTTCTGTATATTATATGGATTTCGACATAAAATTGAGAATGGAAATGGGGAATGTGTCAAAGAGACAACAACCCGACCATAGAACAGACAACAGCAGAAGGTCACCAACAGGTCTTCAATGCAGCGAGAAATTCCCGCACCCGGAGGCGTCCTTCAGCTGGCCCCTAAACAAATATATATACTAGTTCAGTGATAATGAATTGTACACAAGAAACTAAAATTAAAAATAATACAAGACTAACAAAGGCTAGAGGCTCCTTCTCGCCCAAGTGTTTGGAATAACTTTTGCACCTTAGACCTTTATGTTTGCTTGATAGTAGTCTCATTATAATATATATTAACAATAAAAACTTCATTTATTTTTAACGTGTACATTAATGGTTCATTTTGATTGTATAGGTCTATTTTTAAAGTCTTGATACCTTTTTGCCATTGTGTCTGCCTTTCAATTATTATAACTTAAGATGTCAGGGAATGGTCATTAAATGTATTATCTCCAAGTTCACCTTTACAATCTTTGGGATATAAAGTCTTTGAACTAAGGTTCCTAAATGTTCGTTCCATGCAAGCTGATCATGAACAGTTGTCTGAATTT